CTCCATGTGTATAATGTATGCGTGGCTTTTTTGTACGTGTGCTTGGCATTGGGTATATTGTGTATTTGTCTTACTGTGATAGAGCGCATCTAATACCGACTTCATAGCGCTGCCATGGTGGTAAAAATCGATAGTCCATATTTTAAGTCTTTATTTAAATACATATTTATATCTGTGTAGGAAATAATGCAAGTCGAACATTAGGATTTCCGTTGTAGTTGTTAATGTAAGATTTAAGCAAGCAGTCACACGGGTCTGTTTGAAAGCTATCTCTCTGTTGAAGTCAAACTAACAAACATACAGGTATAACGTCCCTTATCGTGTCGTTTACAACAATTACAGGCTTGAGTAACCAAAAAACACCCACACAAAACTGACATACAGATACGTACAGAAATTCTGTAACACACCTTCAAACGGATGTCTATTGGGGGAATAAATGCCGTACTTCCTATAGGAAAACACTATAGGACATATGTTAATCAATACTCAGTTGTTTATGTCTTACCCTTTGTTGTTCCTTTGCAAATCACGGACATTTTTCTGTCCAAATATTTGTATTAACCGGGATTATTGCATTAACAATTTAAACTAAATTATTACTTTGCAAATATTAACAGTATGCATAACGTCGGAGAGGCGGGTCTGTCTCCCTAATTTATAACTTAAATATCCTTATTTAGTTAACCTTAAACATTGCTACTATCTCTGTATCACTACCGTACCCCTGTATCACGTTAGTCTACATGATTGCTCAAGTGAGCTATACATTCTCGACTTCTCCTTCAGAAACACTCATCTGATTTACTTGAAGCTTGATATTGATACAAATGTTCCTTATGAAGTCCCGACCAGAGTTCGTATTTCTTGTTTTGGTCCGATAACCAAGAGGACATCATGGCTTCAGTTGACGGAGATAATTTTAACTTCTTCACAAAAATTGAAATCAATTGTTTACATTTACGGCTATTTGACAACAATCAACAGTTTTGACAACGTTTGTGTAGATACCAGTATATTTTATTAATTGTATTTTGATACATTTTTTATTATTTGATTTTAATATACATGTATAGATAAATTACCTTAACAATCACGATTGGCCCGTAAAGAAGTGTGTGCATTGGGTTTTGATACGGGGAAAAAACATTATAGCTTTTAATGTTTGCACAGTCTGCAGTGTTGAAAACGTATGTGTAGATACACATGATTTATTATCGACATCTGAATGGACAACTTCAATGTTTGTTCAAACCATTTTACCATTATTGGAATAAGCATTATGGAAGTTCCGCTGTTTTAAATACAAATAACACAAACACTATTTTATATAAAAACAAACTTGCTTTACTCGTATCATTTGTGCCCAATCGTACGTCTAGCCATGGTACCGGGAACTACCATACTGGGGGAGAGCTGAAAAATAAATGAGATAAAATTACACTTAAGTACGCGTATGTCAAATTACAAGAAACGAGACATAATGACGACTGTTACGGTAACGTCAAACCGAAAACAAGCAAACGAGGATTCTGAGTTATGTTTAGTTTGACGCAGACATCTAGGTGATTGCAGAAGTCGTAACTTGATACGATAAGTATATGATGTGACGAAAGTTTTAATCAACTTCATGATTGAATATCATTTAGCGCAACTCCGCTGGCGAAATAAAAAGAAAGTGAAATTGGAACAATTAATACTTCATGGACAAAGGTTGATGTCCATTATTAGTTATATAGTCAGTTACTGACCCTCCAAAGGACCATAGAGGGTTGGTAAGATTTAAAGGGGGCGAGGGCGGAGCCCGATCCTCCTGTACATATAACGGTACTGACCGTCTATGGTTATGTAGAGGGTCAGTAGCTGACTATATAACGAATTTATCGCATCGATGACCCTTTTTGCGTGGTCGTCTGCCCAAATATCTCCATTGTTGTTGTCTGTCAATGTCGCCGAAACGCTTAGATAAGGGGACGGCACCCCCGCTAAAACAAAAGACGGTCGCTGGCGACAACGTCTTACTATTTTTGCCTGGCGTAGGGGAGGCAACTCCGATCATCCTACGATACAATGTAGCGAATAGGAATTACGGTGAGCATTGTATCATTTTAGAATATTCAGGTACCCGTATCTGTTGTTTTAGTTTTGAAGCGGTGAGCAATGGGCGGCCATATTGCTCTATAATGGAATCCTACTGACCCTCTATAGAAAAGTAGAGGGTCACCACGTGACAGCTCTAAACCAATGTTTTTTGGACATTTTTGTCCGAGGTCCGATAAATGCTTTTATAGAAACATCCCAGCGAAACGGTGGTTTCGGTCGGGTATATCATACAAATATATACTGAATAAAATGTCCCTATTTTTCAATGTGGATATGTATAGTTCTCACAGACAGTGGTGACAGTGGGTACACTATTTCATTCTACTAAATGATATGTTTCTATGTTTAAACGGGGATACATACAGCTCTTACAATGAAATATATACTAAATACATGTCCCTCTGTTTCAATGTGGACATACTAAAGATACGTACAGTTCTCACATAGACAGCGACGACAGTGGGGTACGTCATATTTAATACAGGTGGGATCACAATCATGAGGTATCGGCGGGCACGAGCCTGAAGCAATAGTAAGTTGACACAGAAATGAAATCAACCATTATTGAAACGACAATGAACGGTACTATTTGATAGGATTGCTTATATGTATGTATACACTGGCTACCTAAGCAATTTGTGTATTGCAGCTTTTTATTTGGGTAAGTCGTCTTTGTATTCTTCGTACGGTATTGAATTATATAAATGTAATCGACATTGAGTTGAACCATTGACCTTTTCATATATGGCACTTATACTGAACAACATATAAAAAGATAATATATGTTTTTTATACAATTATACAACAAAATGCAGCATGCTTTCTTAACATCAACAATTATATACAATGTATATTTGTAGATCATGTCAAAGTTTATATAATCAGCATGATCCGCTCTAACGTTCATACCAGAATATAACTTTGGTAAATATCTTGTAGACTGTCAAAACATGTTTTTTTTGCAATAGCATATAAATGTACCTTCCGCCATCCCTCCACTGCTGCCGCTGGAGTAATAGCCTCCTCCACCAGCCCCGCCCCCTACACCATTACTGGCGATACCCGTGTGTATCCCTCCGCCTCCATTGCCGCCACTGTAACTTCCTCCGCCACCTCCGCCGGAAGAACTACCGCTTGTTAAAACTCCCAACATAATGCCTCCGCTTGAATGGCCTTTTTCCAGGAAAACACAAATTATGTAAATGGAATAAAACAGTTTTTATGTGTTTTTCAATGTCTCAATTAATGATATAAATTAAGGATCATGTTTTTTCGCTGGTTAGCATGTTAAATCGCCAAAACATCCGTAATTCTCAATGGTTTACACAAGTCCTATTACCACATTTGTTTTCTCAATTGATGTACTAAGACAGAAGCATTAATTCGAAGCTTGTTAAGTTACATGTACATACATTTCATTTAAAATGTTAAACGTAAAATATATTTGATATCCTTTCCGTAACTCCGACATTTCATGTTTTATACAGACTCTTAAAAATGCAAGAATAATGTACCAGCTTTCACTTTGTGAAAATATGATATAAGACAAACCTGTGTTTGTGACTACTGTGGACGCCCTTGGGTAACGTACACTGGTTTAGGCTTGGTTGCCACTGTCTGTGTATAGATCGGTCTTTGTACATATATTGGTTTAGTTTGTGGTTGTGGTTTTGCAATATGCACTGGCTTATAAGTGTTAGTTTCGCATTCGTGACATACTTCTGGTAGATGTACAACAACTGTCTGAGGTTGAGGCTTGGCAACATAGACCGGTTGATAGTTGTTAGTTTCGCATTCGTGACATACTTCCGGTTGTTGTACTACTACGGTCTGATATTGTGGCTTCGGTTTCGGTCTCTGTTATTGAGAAGAAATTACAATGGAAATAATTAACTGAACCGAATTGAAACACAAAATGCTACATAAAGATTAGGATAGTTGTAAACGTACCTCAGTTTAACCGGGTAATCGGCATTAAATATGATATAAGTAACAGTGCAATTGTAATTCACGGATACGGCACGAATTACATTATGGGACAGTACATGCATGCAGTCAGCCTGACGCTTTGTGCTCTATCCATTCAAACGTATTGCAATTTCGTAAAGTGTGTGTACTTGTCATAAACGTTTGCTTATTGTGAAAGCCATATTTTTAGCGGTACTTGTAGCTGTAGTGAAGACAAAGGAATAATTTTGATATATCATTGTAGTGTTTTTTCAGGGATAAAAAGCATATCTACGGAAATTGAATTGATTTCACTATATATCACCAGAGAACATTAATTGATACAAATTCATATTGTATAACAATATTATTCCCACGCTTGGCTTACCTCTATGACGTATTGGGGTAATTCTCCACAGTTGTATTGACACTCCGTGGCAGGCTCCGTTATATATACCGGCGCGGGCTGTTGTACACATTCGTGACATTCCGTTCCCGTGTTTCCGGTGATGAAGATCGTCTCCTGGTGAGGCACTTCCCGTAATGGCTCGACTTGGATAGCTTATAAAGCAGAACTATTTATTCACTGTATGTTCAAGTAATCTGTTCGTTTACTGTTTACTACTTTAACATATTTTACTAAAATCTTCAACTGTGTGGTTAATATCAATGGATTCAGTCAAAAATGTATCGCTCATTCATTGAGAGTTGGATTCTGATTGGTTCTATGGTAAGTAAGACATTATCTGATTGGCTTACTTTGATGTACAGGGTGGAGACAGTGACATGTCGGACAACCATCTTGCCCACATTGATATCCCGTCGCACAATGACTTTGGCAATAAAACGCAGCTTCGCAGTACAGAGGGCGCTGTATCGTCACCTGCTGAGTTGCTATGCCAACAACTCAAAAGAAAAATGTTTCTATTAACTCTTGTGTTCTTTCATGTGAAATTGTTTATTTCGAAACCAGCTGGAACCCGTTTAACAGTAATTTTTAGTAAAAGGAAACTAAATTTAGATTGCTTACAAATCTTAAGACATATATATATTGTCAATTATCTTAATAAAGAAATCAAAAGACCTTTTATGTGCACAAACTTGCAAAGATTCAAATACTTTTTTATACATTGAATACCGAAAATTTAGATACAAAAACTTTTATTTAAATATGTTTTGACAAAATATGATTGTTAATACCATAATTTCTGAGAAAGAAAGAGAAAATGATATGGGAAATAACTCTGACATTCATATGCTCGGCTAGGTTGAGTTTCTAACCCACCAAAAAATAAAAACATGATTTGTGCTTTGACAATTTTTATAATTTTTATTATCAAATTTTAATATATCTGAATTTTAAAATAACTAATAGAATATTTGTCATTTTTATTGCAATGAAACATATCCGTCATGTTTCTCTCCAAATGCCTGATTGACTGGACGAGCATTGATTAAAAAAACCCAAAAAAACATATAAATATTTCCTCTGTTCAGATTGTCGTCTAGTATCAAAGGATATTTCAGGCCTCGACTTACCGGAGGGGTGAATACAGTCACACGTCGGGCATCCGTCACTTCCGCACGTGTAACCCACGGAGCACGTGGAGGCGCATGTCATATAGGACGAGCACACAACCTCAAATATTACCTGTTGTTGTGTGTGTACCACCTCAGGATGAGGCCGCTGAACTGTGAATTATGTCGTACATGTCTTTTAGAAATTAATTCATCATATAAATATAAACTACTTAGGAATACTTCTTTAACCTTCACGTGGCTACGACGTTTGGGGTTTTGTGTTCAAATTAAGTATAATGAGAGCGCAGGCCCATATACATGTAGATATACCCCTCCCTCTATCGCTATTCCAGTGGCCTTTGCACAGTTAACCTTGACTGATGACCACAGGAATATAATCAGCGTAAATAATTCAAATACTATGTTGTTACATATGTTGTGAGATAGAGGAGGTTAAGAAAAGGAATATATCTAAAATAGATAACTAAAATATCGAAAAAAACAAAAGATGCAATAATATTTATATAACAATTTAAAAACAAAAAGTTTGCTTTTAAATCATATTAGGGCAGTTTAATAGCTTCAGGTTGCATGTTGTGAAATGCTTCAGCAGCGCTATGTTCTGTCTCATTTCAAACAATTTTAACATGACCAAAACTCGGATCATGTGACACAACATTAGAGTCCTTTTAACACAAGCGATAATGTTCTGTATGATAATATGCTAAAAGTTTCGAACATTAATACGCTATAGCACGAACAATTCACTGCAGATAATGAGAACTTTCTCCTAATATTATAAAAATACACTGGATTAGGAAGGCATCTATAAATCCGCACCATCCCCTTTATAAGAATAAACGCATGCGCTGTATTGTATACAGGATATGACACACCTGTTGATGTGACCGGTTGATACACAACATTTGACCCTCCTGAAACAGCTGGGGTGAACGTTCCGGTACCGGAAGTACCTCCTGAGATACTTCCACTTCCGCCTCCATAATAACCTCCAGAAGACGAGGAAGAGAAGGATGACGACGACGACGATGACGAAGATAGACCACCTGCAGATCCAGATGATACAACAGAATGTATGGATGTTGTAAAAATGAAACGGTAAATAGTGACGAATTGTTACTTTTATGGCTAACTACAAGGTAAAACGCCCCCTTGCTCTAAATACAACATAATCCCCTTCAATTAGCAATTGTTTCGTGCGTATTTTTGATATATTATACTTGTTACTCATCCCTGCGTCTGCTCCATATGGATCCCGTATCATTGTCAGGTTTATATAAAATAGACAAGCAGTGGCAACACATTGGTTATTAATCAACAATGAAGTAATAAGAAAACAAGTCTTTCAATTTTAGGATTTCATCAACTTACCGCATTTCGATGCGTTTCTTAAGATTAATTTATATTGTATATTGTATACGTGTTCATACATCCCAATCAGTGAAATGTTTATGTGTTATGGGACGATGACTAGAATGATAACGTCTTTAAAGCCCTTTTCATTTGATGAAGGTGACAGTTTGGCTGCTTTGGGGTTATTCGTCCTCGCGACAACTACGGTCACCTAAATGCCACGTTAAAAGTGCAATCTCATTAAAATGTCGTAATCTTGTCACTATAGCAACGAGTAATCGGTTAGTAATTACTGCTCCCTTTTCAAAGTTTAATATCAAGAGATGTAGATACAAATCCAGGCCTTAGTTTGTCTCAGTTAGGGGACATAACTCGTAACCTTGGGACGATTAGCGTCAACGCCAAATGTGAGGTCTTGACATGTAAGCGTTAGGAAACGGGAAAATATGTAAGGAATGAGAAATATAACGATTTCAGATATTACCAAAACATCATTTTGTTCGCTTTTGTTTCCAAAAACAGACACAACTTAGAATCTTCTATATAGGCGTTTACTTAATAGAAATGTAATGCATATGTATCGCGCTGGTTGTGCAATTGTAACCTGTATGTAATGATCAACTTACCGGTATGACACGTACAAGGCTGACACCCGTCTGAACCTTTCGGACCCAGATTGTATGATCCAGAGCACATGGATATACACAACGTTGTGGCTGCACACTCTTTGTGCGTTTGACCGGAAGTGAAAGAACTTTGGGAAGAGGAAGCTAAAATTAAAGCCGACATCATCCCGGACATGTCCCCACCAGCTATCATACCGCCACCTAGTGGCGGAAAACATTAATCTGACTTGCATGATCTAAGCTGTGGTATGGGAAACAAATATTAGTGTGACGTCATTTTTATTTGAATTACCTTGTGTACGGATTTCATATTATGTAAGCTAGTTGCGTTCGTAACTGTTAGAAAAGGACACAAAATACCCGTTTAATCTGTATATATTCAGCTGAAAGAACTGAAAAGTTTCGATTTCCCTGTGTATTTTGTCTATTGCCGTTGAAACAATATAAACCGAGAGAACTGCATTAGACGTTTGTTCGATTGATTTATGATTTTCACGTTTTAATTTGAAACAGACTACCTATAGCAATGTGTCTATTGACAAATATTAGCATAACGGCGTAACATTATCACAAGACTTCGTGATTGTTTCTAGCACTGTGGGTATGATTTGTTCATACAGTGACAATTTAATGCAGATGAAAATAAGATGAATATTCATGAAAGATTCATGGATAAACTATTTGGTGGCAGTGTCGGGTTGAAAGGGGCTCCATAAAATAGACAACATCAATAGTGCAAGCACGCCTTCACACACAGGTAACATAAATACATAAATTATTAAAACCATCTGAGAGGCATACGTGATTCATCGTATCTAAATGATGGCATTTCTTTTGTTACATAACGACTGCTGAAACGATTCTTAGTCTCTGTCTTTAAAAGTCTGGTTCTCTGAATAAATGTTTAAAGCAACATTACGTTTCATATTGTTGTTCAAAATGTTCAATCCATTTTACTAGACGGTCTCTCCACTCGTCCTGTAACCCCCCGTATTCATATTCCTCGTTCAAGTAACTGTTTCTGTAGCTAGAATTGATAATATCGGTCATAACCCATTTACATAAAGTTTTTACGCACTTGCTTCTGTTTCCTACGATTGCATTCCTTGTGTAGTGAAAAAACAAGTTTTTATATATTTTTATGTTTTATTTCGGTCGTGTGAGAGGATAATTCCGTATTCAATTTATCAAATGTTAGGTTTACAGATATATTCTCATATATATTCTTTTATTCAATTAAACAAAGAAGCTTCAGTAAACAATACTATTGTTACGTGTTGTTCCGTTGACTTATCCTTTTAATATTCCCCAAAAATGATATATTGTGTGAAATTTAACAACTTATGTTGCTTATCTTATATCCTTCCTGACAGAGTTTGTAATAAAGATTAAACAGATATCCACAGCTGTTTGTTACCTGGCCCACAAGGACATGAGTGACATCCATTAGCATCCACAACTCGGCACCAAGAGGGACACATTATTCGATGACGTATACACTGCAACCCCATGGGTTGAACATCCCATGTCCTGGAGACGCGAGTCCTCCAATCGCCGGGTTCCCCGGGGCATTTGGTCCATGCATAGGTCCTAATGACGGTCCTCCGTGAGCTGACCCCATGCCCTTGGGACCTCCCACGAAAGCTCCGCCATTCATTGGGCCCCCTTTGGATGGCATACCGCCCATACCTCCACCAACATGAAATGGACTTCCGCCTCCACCGCCTTGGCCTCCCCTACCGAATCCTCCATTTCCAAAACCTCCAACCCCTCCTGGACTTCCCATTCCGAAACCTCCGCTTCCCCCTGGACTTCCACCTCCGAACGACATCCCGCTTGGTCCAAATCGCTTGAACTTTGACCTTACTCGCTCCTGTCGTTGATTTGCATCGTTGTCGGAAGCTTAATTAATATAAGAAAAGACATCTTACTTTGGCATTGTATTTCTGTGGGATAGCACTACAAGTCGGCATCAGATCCATGCTATCTCAAAAGGCACATACAGTAACATACCATTCTTCCGGCAATCACACGCATGCTCGCATACATTACACACATGGAGGGACGTTTTAAAATTACCTTAGCTGTTGGTAGGACGTTAATCCCTATAAAGCGAAAAAAAAGCACTTGCTCATTTTTTTGTGCATACTTTTTATTTAAAAAAAATGTTTTTTTTTATGTCGATTAAGTAAATATTTTATTTATAAAGAACGTTATATAATAAGTCTTTAGCAGTAAATCGACACAAACGTGGTACCTTATTGTTCTTTATGCCATAAAAACATTAAAAACAATTATATTAAATGAACGGGATGAATTAGAGATACATTTTCATTTCAACTGGTGTTTGTCAAACGGCGCCATTTTACCTATAAATGTCAAAATCGACGAAAGAAATCTTACAATGCTTTGCTTTGATATGAAACGAGTCTTAGACGTTTTTGTTTTTGCGAGCCTTGGGCCATTCACAATTTATGACGTCACGTCATTGTCCATATTATGACGTCACAATCGATTTCTGTAAAAATATTACACGGGCGAATTCACTGGATAACAGGCCAATTATATGATAAAGTAAAGTTGCCATCAAGTTCAAGTTATTTATCACCTTGATTCTTTCGACCCATCGGTTCCAAAATGAGATATTTACAATATTTACAGACAATACAATACAATACAATACCGACAATGCACAACGATATGGAGGGTGTTACAAATTACCATAATGTATTTTTTTTAAATCTTTACTGAGTATATTCGCAATACACCAGATTTGGTCGATTTCGTTTGCTTGTATATTTTGATAATAAAATACCTGCTGTTACCGACAGCATTTAAGTGTTTTTAAAGTACATTAAATGTTCAACTAATTTAATGTTGTTACTTTCAAGTCATGGGTAGCTGGAATCAGTTTTCCCCCACCCTTCACAGGTGTCTCTCCCGTTTTAGCCGAGAAAGACCAGCTTGTCACCCACCGATTAGCACTTGTTCAATTGTGACGTCATAAAAATGCGTCATCGGTTTTTGTGACGTCATCAACGAGGGAATATTTTACAAATAGAAGATTATAACGTTTTTATATACTGATATATTTAGAATGCGTTGTTAAACATAGTGTAATTTCCATACTTTCACCCCTTAGGGGGCGACAAGCTGATCTTTCCCGGTTGAAAAATATATCTTCTATTTATAAATATTGGTTATATTGGTTTCACGTCAGAACTTCAAATTAAATGTGATATCTATGTTAGTTTGAAACAAGTGTGAATAGAAGTTCCCGAAAAGTGGAGGTTAAATACACTCTAGCATGTTTATTTAACTTGAGTAGTTTTGTATAGAACAAAGATCATAGAAATAATAATTCGAGGTTCTTGTATACCGCTTTTTCAGAACCTAGTTCGTAGGTCGTCTCAAAGAGGCTCACACATTATTATCCGTGGTAATAGGGCCTTTGCAACCAGCCGATATCTTTCCCAACTCCCTGTGGAGCATACAGCCGGTGCTGCCATTTCGGCGCTCACAGCTAGCATTCAACAATTCTAGCTCTGCCCAACCACGTACTCATTTACAGCTGAGTAGACTGGACCAATCGGAGTAAAGTATCTTGCTTAAAGATACAACCCAGTGTCGTGCCGTGATTCGAACCCGCAACCCTTCGGTCACGAGCCCGGCGTCCTACCACTAGAATCCCGTGCCTCCTAATAGACATGAAAAACAACCATCAAGAAGTCGAATTTGAAAGCCTTTTCCACCCGAATCAACTCTACTGCAAACAGAAAGACATATGTTCTCTTGTACATATATGATTCCTGTTTCTAATTGGGGAAAACTACTATCATTCTTGACGTCACAATGGCAGATATTGATATAAGCATTGATATAACGTCATTATTAAAAGTCAAGTTTGGGAAATGAAATCATCCCCAAAGTGTTTACCACTGGCGTGGAACATCGTAGATACAGGGACAACTTAGATAAGTGTTATCTTAAAATCTTAAATTGAAACCCGATATAAAACCCCAACGTTTATATCAATTACAACTTCGATGTAATGCCCTCATTCCATTTTGCTCTTCGCTTACCAACAACATATTTCAATGTCCCATTTTCCTTTCTTACAGTAACAATTACTTGGTAAGATTCACTTCGTGCATTTTAGATCCACTTTTAACGTAACCATTGTACAGATGAAAATGTGGCAATAAAGCGGGGGTTTACTTTACTGTAAAAGAATAATTAAATAGAGATGTTATTTTTAAGTTATGGCCCGAGGTTCCTGAAAAAAATTAAGCATTGAGCTTAATTTTAAATGTTGTTCAATTTTAAGGAAATACGTACATGTACGTTCTGTAAATAATTAAGGACTCAATATTTTACCATTTCAAATTCAGGATGATTTAAAAGAGAACAAAATCGTTTTAATGACCTTGTTTTAATAACCTTTAGAAATTTTGAGTTGCAAATAAGACTGCTTTGTGATCTTGAAATTTGTTGACAACTGCGGCCATCTGGAATAATGAAGCGCAATAATGTGTTTTCTGTCCTCAATAAATCGTATTTTAAAAAAGGTAAAAACTTGGAGCAAATAATGCACTTGAACGTTGCTCTTTCACAAACCTGAGTGACAATTGCACGCTGGACACTCCTTGTTATACGTAATACAGTCTGGTTTACAGTCTTCAGGCAAGGGCGGAAACACAAGAAGTTCAATAACTTCCGGAACCATAACTGAACAAGACGAGCCTGTCTATATATAGCTCCGGCACCAGGAACGTGGAACAATATTTTAAAGCACGGTAATAAAATCAATATGTATAATTGTCCATACAGCAATGCTCTAAAACCTTTTACTAATAGACCTGAAACTAAAACGTATTGTAATGGTTTCTACGTGGGGCGTTCCACGTGAAAATTTGATCCAACAAATACGCAACGCACGTGTGGTACGATTATACAGGTTTTTTGGGTTTTACAGAGATATTACATAATGGCAACTAGTTTTACATAACCGCTTTACTATCTCAGGGCTAGGAACTTTCCTATGTTCCAAGATTTTACGTAATAGTTTCTGCAGTAAGTGTTTGTTGTCACACGAAGACTGCCAAAGGAAACACTGTTGAAAAGGAACGAGTATCGAAATGAGAAAAGTAAATAAATGTCTGGAGGTATAGTATGACATTTTAGTAGAACCATGTACTCACCAACACTAGTTAGTAGATCCATAAAGATTTAGCGTCTCTTCAAACTACTCAAGCATCGAAAGAATCCCTTTACCAAACCATTGGATTCTGAGAATTAATACGCAACGCAAACTGCAAAAAGTGGAACAAAACCGAAGGTTTTTTTACTTACTGTTTAATCTACATGCGCGCTAATATTTACCCATGAATATAACATTTAAAAGTGTACGAACCAGTCGTTCCACGCAAATCAGAGGCGTTAATTAGTTCGGTTCCTTACCTTGTAATAGCACGTAAAGCAAGGTATCCATAGCAATAGTCAGAAACAGGATCGCCAACGTAGGTTTCAACATAGCGACAATTCAGGTAGTAGTGACCAGAAATAGTCCCTAAATACGGTGATAAATAATTACAATATAACTAATAAATATTGATATACTCTCAGCAAAATAAGTAAAAATATAAAAAAAAGTGGTGAAATATTCTTTGTTCAAATGCTTGTAAACTAAAAATGTGCCTTAAACGCAGAGAGCTGTGCTGTACTTTGCATATTGCTAAACAATTTGATAGAACTACTTAACTATCCCCCCGTCTGTGCCTCTTTCTCTAATGATATCAAGAGTACGCTTTAGGTTATCATAACATTTATAATGTTGACATGCTCGAAGTGGGGCTCACAAAGGGTGATTTGTTGCCCCGCCCACACACCAGGTGTTTTGTTATCACGAGGAGTGCTTCACCTGTCGATGGCGATATATCTACACAATAGGGGGCGCTCTTACATTAATTACGTCATAAGATATCAACCAATGTCCGCACACTGTGTATATGAGTAACCTACCATAAAACAATACCGGTCATCTCACTCAGAGATGTTTATACTAAATACATATCTGTATCAATGCTATCATATGTACCTTTTTTAGAATAAACCTAGACAAAGTAACACGGAGAACGTCTGAAGATGGAACGCCCCAGCTACGCTTCCTTACTTTTATACACAATTGATCATGTACACTTTGTCAAATAAATATTCAACTGGTAGTCAGACTTACCTATTTGTAAGTTGCCCGTAGTTTGTACATAATCATTATTGCGGATAATGTGTCTTTGCCATTTACACTTATTATAATTTTATTTTACTCTATATGCATTTCTTATGTTATGCATAAACGATTCCACATGTGCTGATTGACCGACGATCAGTCTATTTTGTGAACTTTCGAAAACTTAACCTGACTTATTCCACTTTTGTTAACTTTTTAAAACGAGTTTATCAACTTTTATCAATAACTGTTGTTGGCTCGGGAGATTACCCATGTGGTCGGGCAGGTGATGCCATATCTTAGCAGGTTCAATTAGGGAATAGAACCCCGTTCGTTATGGTAAAATGCAAATGCGCTCTCCACCTGGCCAATCGATCATAATATTTTTATGTCAACTCTTGTTCAAACTTACCAAATCAATTCAAGTTACTGATTGAAGAATTTAGTTACTCATTTCGTTTTTGTCGATTATATAACCGATATTAAAACGATCAATTTGTTTTGCTTATATACCAGATAGAATAAATTAGACACAATTTAGTAAAACTTCCGATGTTTTATTGTGTGGTTAATACTTACATAGCATTATATACATGTACAATGAA